TAGAGATAGATATTATTGGCCAGGAATTCAGACCGATGTGAAGCAATACATCATCGGTTGTACTCAATGCTCAAAACGAAAGGCTCCAAATCCTAAGAAACGAGCACCTATGCAGATATTTGAGTCAAGTTTTTCCGATGGAACGTATTGCAATGGACATTCTTTGTGAGTTACCAATGACCAGGAGTGGAAACAAACATATTATGGTTATTTCTGATTATTATACGAAATGGACTGAAGCGCTTCCAATGCCGAACATGGATGCACAAACTGTATCCAAAATTCTTGTTGAGGAAGTAATTGCTCGATTCGGTACACCATATTCAATACTATCTGGTCAGGGAGTACAATTTGGAAGTGCACTTTTTCAAGAGCTCTGTAAGCTCTTACAAATCAATAAAACACAAACCACTCCTAACCATCCAAAATCAGACGGGATGGTTGAGAGATTTAACAAAAAGTTCGTTACTATCCTCAGCTCATATGTTAACAAATATCAAAATGATTGGGACGAACATTTGCCATATGTTCTTATGGCTTACAGATCGTCAGAACATGAGACTACAGGCAATACCCCAAATTATCTTATGTCAGGCAGGGAGGTTACAACGCCATGCCAAGAAATATGGCAACTATTCCCCAGAATAAATGGGCGTGGGAGATAAAAGAGAGAATGGAAGAGGCTCATTTGGAAATAAGAGAAAGTATCAAAGGGAATATGATGAGACAAAAGAAATATCATGATCAAAAGTTATCATAGCAAACCTTTAAACAAGGGGATCAAGTTTTCGTATTTTTCCCAAATGTAAAAACTGGCACAACGTCAAAATTTACTAATTTATGGAGAGGACTGTTTGAGATTATATCAAAAATGTCCGATGTCACATATAAGGTTAATTGTGGGCGACAAAAACGTCCACAAGTTATACATGTGGATCGTATGCGAAAGCGATCAGCACAAGTTTTAACGGGTGAAAAACATGAAGACATTCCAGGTTATAGAAATGTAGCAGTACAAGTAGAAGATTACACGTTTGAAACCTGTGAGAATGGGAATGACATAGGAGACAATATTGATTCAGTAGTGGAAATATCGAACAAAGATACAATGAGTAGTAAGTTAAGTAAACCCGAGGAGTTTTCAAATCCTGTACCAAGTTCGGTCTCAGGAAGGCTTAGCAGAAAGCCACAATGGATGAAAGATTATGTGAAATAGTAGACGAGCTAGTATATCTTTCACAGTTAAAGATGGAACATAGCTAGATATTTTAGTATAATGTGTATTGCTGTAAATATGTTATAGTATAAGTTTATATATATAGTTTTAAGTTAAGTGTAGCTTAGTTTTTATCCTATTGTTTTATTTTATACTTTCAGAAAAGGAAGGAAAAAAAATATGCTAAAAAACAACGACTACACCTAGGAGTCAACATCAAAAGTGTCCCTGGTGCCCTTACAAAACACTGGATACAGATTACTTAAAGGTAGCACCTAGTAATGTGGCATGAATGCCATTAATAAACATTATACATGCACAGAAGTGGGTTGTTCATATATAAGCAACAAAGTGAGTAATGTTAAAAAACATAAGAAAGTACATTCCAAAAATGAACCAAAAAGTAAAGTTATAATACCTGACATAGACTTGTCGTCAGACACAGATGAATGCCTCAGGAAAGATCCGTGACAAATAATTGGTCCCATTAGTACAGAAGAAGAAATAAATTCCGATGAAAATAACAATGACGCTGAGACCAATAAGATTAATAATATTATTGAAGTAACTCAGAAAGTTGAGGAAGATATCAAGCATGATAAAGTAGGTCAAATAATAGAAGGAATGAAACAGGCTGGCAGTGTAGATGTACAAGAAAATAATAAGGAAGTAAAGTCTTCACCTATAGTTAGGAAGGATGTAGAAATTGGTAGAATGACAAGAAAGCCGACAAAGTCAATCATAATTGCAACTATGAAGATGCCTTTTCAGGCTATTACATCTACAGGAACATTTGATCTGAGTCCAAAGGATTTGAGACATATCATACCAAGAGCCCCTACACAAGTAGTTAGTAGCGATATAAGAAAAAGAGTAGAGACTGGAACACAGGCATCTGCGTTAACAACTGTTAGAAGAACAGTAACCACTAAAACTACATACGAAGAAAATGGAAGACAAGTAGTAATAATTGAGGTCGTTGAACAGACCATTTGAGCGACCAAGACACTGGTATCCTTTAAACTTTATTGAAGGAAGGAATGCTTTACTGATAAAGAGTTGTGATAATCTCAGAATTGAAATTGCTAGACAGTTTTATATATGTGTATGTATACGAATATGATTTTAAAAAACGGGAATCTGAAATGACCCGGTTGTGTTGAATTAAAAGGATAAGATAACGGAGTTGGCATATAATCTTGTATAAGGAAGGACGTTATCATTATTACACTTTTGGAAAATGAATAAAAATATCAAAACATATATTAACTTTGTTTTATAAATATGTATGTGTCCGGTCGGATTGGGGACGTTAACTCCAAGGCTGGTATACATAGAATGTCACACTTTGTGCACCTTAAAGATCCCTTTGTAGCAGCAATATCTGTTGGCATCGTGTTCGATAAGAGTAGGCTTCTTGTGAGCCGCTACATAGGCAAAATTATTTCATACCGGTTATTTGGTTGGATAAGTACTTCCTGTGGCAGTTAAAATTATTGTGTCTTTGTATCATCATTTGATCATTATCCCTTAGTTTATCGGGCAATGAATGTGTCGCAAATTTGTTAAAGTAGGAAAATGTATTTCTACGAGTTTAGAAGGTAATTCTTGATATAGGAATGATTCTGTCTTTACAAGGAAAATCTTTTCAACTGACATAAAAATGCGCATTTCTCGGAGGCGTGGGTAATGTGACGAATATGTTTGGGACGACTATGCATTATAAAGGGCGAAGTCATTAGTGTCTGTCCCCTTTCGTATTTGAACTTAAAACAGAGAAACATTGGAATTAAAAGGTATAGTAACATTTCCTTATCTGACTTAAAACTTCATGGTATTAATAAGTTACATTTTATTAAAGTTACAGTGAGGTTAATCATTTGAATACTTGCATTATTTTGGACTATATTCTACTTTCAAATTCAAGTGGTTATGCATATCTCTGACTATTTTATAAACTGGCGAAAGAGTGAAATTGTATGAAGAATGCTCGGCGTGTGATGCAATTACAATATAATTGGTATGTTTATGGTCATCGGGTACCATAATATCTTCCTTGAGATAAGATATTATCGTTTGATTACTTGACATCCCTTGTTACTACGATATGCTCTATATGGCACAGTCCAATAAAGGTGAACTCGTCTAGGATTGAACCACCCTTATTACTAGGCAATACAGGGTAATGGTATTGTCCAATAGTGGTATATCCCAATCATCCAGGGGTATATAAACAGCCGTCAGCAGTCAGTTAGGGTCGGTATTACGTATCAGTGATAAGATAAACACCTGCTTATTGTTCCAAACATTGGATTGACTGCTCAAGTCTTTCCAATAACTGAAACTTAGCAGAAGAATAGTCTTAAGCTGTTAGTGAGCTGCATCGAGAAAAGCAGAAGAGCTATAGAGCTAAGAGAGCTTCTTTTATTAAGATAAAGACATAGCAGAAAGAGCAACAATACTGCGAGCCTGTTGAGCTAACTATTTGGGATAGAAATATTGTAAGCCAGTGGAGCTACAGCGCTAATGAGTCTGTTGAACTAAGAGCTACAGAGCTAGTGAGCAAGTGGAACTTGCTATTTATTTGACCTGTAGAATCAGTAAGCCAGTTGGGCTGAATATTTATTTGAGCCGGAGGAGCTTTAATGAGCCGAGAGAGTTGAAAAGGCATTGTAAACAAAAGAAACTATACATTAAGTCTCAGATCTCGAGAATCAACTCTGATACGGACCCCTGGCACGTTACACTATTATTTTGGGAAAAGAATGACCGATCAAGCAAACAAGGAAAATCTTCAGGTGTTTATTTTCTGAAATATTATTGAATGAATACTTTTAAAAGTCATGAACATGTGTATAGAAAATAAACAAAATTAGCAAAAAATAATGTGATCTTCAAAACCAATACATATATTTGTCTTTAGAATTGTTATGTTGTTGAAACATACATTTTTGTGTGATGCATATATTATAATCATAGGGAAGCCGACTTCGTTTCGACGTATTATCCAATGAGTTATCAGAATGGTCAAGAAAAACGTCGAAAAGTTTTCAAAGACAACACTGCTAGGCTTTTTACGGCATTGTGTGGTATTTTTGTCAACTAGAACACCAATTTGACGGAAGTCGGTGACCGTATTGTTATTCATCAGCACTAAACATGTTTAAACAGGAATGTATCGGTCACCAACTTATCAGATATACGAAAAAGTCGAAGCATTGATTGTAAAAAAGGAGAAGATAAAGATAACTTTAACAAAATTGTTGATAAGTTTATCATTTACAAATGTTGAACTTTTAGGGGATTTTCATTCAATGACATATTAGCAAGTTTAACAGTTAAAAGTATATTTCGTTTTGATTTTCAATTAAAGTTCAATGCTTTTATACTGTATCTAAAATTTTACAAAACTCCGTGAAATGGCTCATTTACTGTTTTCTATCCTTAAATAGCCAATGTATAAATTGTTCCTGACCAAAAATGATAAGTGTTAAGGCCTATAAATAAGGAATAGTTCACCACATCGTTTTGAGAACTTACATCTCCTTATTGTTTTTATACATGTTAAGCGTCCGATGTCATTCAAGGTTCTGTTTCCTACTTATATAAGAAGCCCTATGGAAAACATCGTTTTCGAGGATAGCTTTTAAAAGTTAACGTAATGATAACATAATCAGGATTCATTATGGTCTTAGTAAAACGGTAGACATTTTATAAGTGTTAGGTAAGGGTTTTGAAACTGCTGGAAAACAACATTTGAATGTGTAAGATCATGTCTAATTACCTGTGTTCCAAGTTGTTGAGAGGTTAGATGCTGTTTGTGTAGTTTCATTTATGCATCCTAGAACATTGTCACACCTAAAAGAAGCATTTATTTCTTACTTTAATTCCATAACTGAATATAATTATCAAAGTTGTCAAAGTAAATAACACAAGAGTTTCGTAAGAGCTTGAACGCAAACATGAGAAACTACAAAAAAGATATCATTAGAGATAAATCATTTGGAAAATACAACTGCTGCTTATCGTATGTTTCAAAGAATAGTGTAAATAAAACAAAAGCAATTGACAATTGTTATATAGTGAAGTAGGAACAAGAGTTCACCCGTTGTTTTGATTTAAAATTGTTCATGTTGCTTTTTAGCTAGCTATAAATCAGGTTCAATCCACTATTTTTCTATATACGAAAATGCCAGTACCATGTCAGGAATATGACAGTTGTTCGTTTGATGTGTTTGAGCTTTTAATTTTGCCATTTGATTAGGGACTTTCCGTTTGGAATTTTCCGCATTCATTCAAGATGACGTTTTTCAATTAGCGGAATCAAATATCTTTCCAAAAATCAACTACTGTCCTACCTTTTAGGTTGCAATTCTGTAAATACTGACAATGCAATTTCCCATAGGAACTCCCTTTGCGGCTAAAACTGTGACACTTTTACTATGAAGTTTCGTGAAAAATAACATCCCAGAACGGAAAGTTTATATGCACTACTATTTTAATCAAAGGTCAAAATATAGGGCTGTGCGGCATATTTTCAACATTTATATGTCCTGAACTTCTAAGAGTTTAAACTTATACTAAAATTCTATACTACCCTTACCTCCATTTTTGGACCTCCTAAGAATTAAAATTTAGCCGCTACCATGTTTTTCAATACTGGTTACATTCCCAAGTGATGTCTCTATGAGATGAAACACAGAGATCATCAATGGGAACCAGTACGTTAACAAATTAACATACCTATGAATATTAAATATCTCCCCAAAAGAGGCGTGGTTTGAGAAACAGCTATATTTACAAAGTGCAACCTATACAAACATTTATTCAAATAGAAAACTCTCTAAAAACACTTTTTCTCACAACTATACTTATTTATCAGAATTGTAGCCTTAAAGAAATCACTGCATATACTCTAAGTTTCCTTTTACAGTAAATTTTGTATCCCTACCCCTGTTTCAATTTTTTAAAGATTTTGAAAACAAGACTCTAATTATTGCCAGCTTACCCTATGTGCATGTTATCTGACATGAACTGTCCAAAACCTGTTTGAAACTATTCTGATAACAAATTGAAAGCATTTTAGAATACTATAAATGTATTGTTTAGTAGTTAAGCATTCCAACATTCAAGGTTATACAAAGTATCCAATCCTGCCTGTGTCTCCAGTCCACATCTTACTGTATGCCTATTTGTCAATGAAAGTTCTCAATTTCTGCCTCAAATGGTCAGTTTAGAATTCTTGTCACAACAGTATCATCCCTAACCATATATCTAACATAAGTTAGTTAATATATGAACTAGAAGTGTTTAAACAAAGCCATATTTGCAAAAGTTATATTTATGAAGATATCAGTCTGGTGCATAAATTCACTAAAAGTTTGATTGAAATGACTGCTTACATCTGATTTTTGCATAACTTCCTAGCATAGTTATTGTTTACTTTACCAAAGACCTTTAAAATAAAAAAATCATAGCATTTACAAGTTAAATTATCTGTTTTATGACTCAGGGGTAGGCATTTTTCTCTGTTTTTTGCCCATGGGGCCTCACATTTCCTAATTGTTTTCCCTGTTTCTAGCAATGTGGAATATTTACTACATATTTAGGATAGAACACACTATTGTAAGTTTTTTTGAGGTCTTTTTGTAATTCTAGCTTGTACTTTTTTATGCCGCGGTCACAAAAAAGCACATTTAGGCGTTACGGCTTACTTTTGGGTTATCGACAGGACAAAAACACCCCACCAAAAATATTTAGGAAGGATCAATGAGTTGCAATTACTGCGAAGAGTAAATATAAGCACTTCTAAACAATTTAAATTACAAATAGGCATATATTATGAATTTATTTTGAATTCAGGGCTTTAAGTAAACCATTGCATACTGTAAACTGTGAATTTATGCTGAGTCATCATAGTTAAGGCCCAGGATTTTCTAAATCTTCATGAAAAATTTATAAAACTTCATATTTGAGTTAAATTCTTTAAAATCTCTGAGATTAACAAGATTTTGTGAAATTCTGTATGTTCTATTTTTTGACCCTATATAGGTTGCAATTCTGTAAATACTGACAATGCAATTTCCCATAGGAACTCCCTTTGCGGCTAAAACTGTGACACTTTTACTATGAAGTTTCGTGAAAAATAACATCCCAGAACGGAAAGTTTATATGCACTACTATTTTAATCAAAGGTCAAAATATAGGGCTGTGCGGCATATTTTCAACATTTATATGTCCTGAACTTCTAAGAGTTTAAACTTATACTAAAATTCTATACTACCCTTACCTCCATTTTTGGACCTCCTAAGAATTAAAATTTAGCCGCTACCATGTTTTTCAATACTGGTTACATTCCCAAGTGATGTCTCTATGAGATGAAACACAGAGATCATCAATGGGAACCAGTACGTTAACAAATTAACATACCTATGAATATTAAATATCTCCCCAAAAGAGGCGTGGTTTGAGAAACAGCTATATTTACAAAGTGCAACCTATAATGTGTGCACTGTACAATCCTGACCTTCACATAATTTAAGATTATTTTGAATGGTTGAATCCGACATTGTTATTACCGGAAGTGTTTGCGGGGAGTTCCACGTGCAGTCTATTTTCTCGGGTCACTCGGATCTTATCATCATTTTTATTGCTTACAAACAAAAAGCCCGGGAAACTGTATCACATCAATGACAAGGATATGACCGGAGAGTAACGAATGTTATGTAAATAAAGGTTCCTCATAGAAACCAAGATGGCGGTTTTACAATGGAAAACAAATATTGGATAATGTGAAGTTCAGGATTATACAGTGCAATCACAACAAAAAGTAGAACAGTACTAGTTTTTGGAAAGATTTTTGATTTCTCTAATTGAAAAACGTCATCTAGAATGAATGCGTTTAATAGTTTAAAAGTTTTCCACCAAAAATTGACGGCGACTATAGCTAGCTATAAAACCAGGTTCAATCCACCATTTTCTACATAAGAAAATGCCTGTACTAAGTCAGGCATATGACAGTTGTTATCCATTCGTTTGATGTGTTTGAGCTTTTGATTTTGCCATTTGAGTAGGGACTTTCCGTTTTGAATTTTCCTCGGAGTTTAGTATTTTTGTGATTTTACTTTTTGCAATGCACCGAATTTGATACGCATAGAATGTGTACTAAAAATTGATTTATCGCAGATTTATATGGGAGCAAACATATAAAATGCAAGGCAAGCATATCAGTGAGTTGAAAATACTGTCATAATTAGCGAAAGTTTTTGTTGACCTGCAGGTCTTTAGAATACGATAGCGCCAACTGCTGTTATTCGCTTAAAGCATATAGTGTGCTTGCTGACAGTACCACAAATGTGCTTCATGTATCTATATACTTTGTCACTTGCAAATCAGCCTGTATATAGCAATAAGATTTGTTGTTTTATCTACACAGTAATGTGATCAGTTATCCTTAGTCTTTCAGGCAATATCCAGTCATGTTTATTTTATTTTGTTCTGATTACTGTTTTATCATTTTGCCACTTTTGCATCTGTGATGTCACTTATTTTTTCGCAACATTTCGGTAAGATAATTTGTATATGATACCAAAAACTTATTAAATCTTTGACACTTTCTATATGGGTGTTATCGTTCTGTATGCCTTTTTCCTTGATACCGCTTATTATCAGAAAGCGTAACAGATATCGCATAAATGTTTTCTTCACAATGTTGTTTTCGTTCCTATGATGATATGTTAAATTCAGACTGAAGAAGTTGGTTACATATTATTGAATTCTTTCCCTTTCTGTGTATGGCATAGGTTTTATGTTGGTGTAATTTAAAACCGTATGTCATAGAAACCTAGGTGTTTTCATATAAGGTCGTGTTACAGATTTGAACTATGTTTGTAATCACTATGAACATAGGTTTTCGTCAAATTGTAAGTTTCGACATGACACAAACCAATGTATGTGGGTCTAGTGCCATGTTTTTTTATACAATCGATATCCTCTTAAATATTCAAGTCTTTTGATTTTTCAATTCATAACCTTGTAACTAAAGTTGTGCTTAAACTAAATGTCAAGTTGACGTTCTAGATTATGAATTATTTAATATAACTCTGGACGTACGTGTAACCTATTATATGAAATCGAAAAGTACATATATAAACATAAAGTGTCAAATTAGTACCCTGTTTTCATGCAAAAGTATATAAGACCTATTTTTGTCGATTCATTGATTTGATAGCTATCAGTTGAGACCAAAAGCGGCTATTTTATAATGGAAAGCGCTGATACTCTGGGCAGGAAGCAGATTCTGCTCCCCATATAAATCTTGTTGTGTTGTTCATGTAATAACCAACTCGAGTCCAAGCTGTTTCGGGAAAGAAGCATAAATGAGTAACTGTTATGTACGTGTCGTAAAAAGATGAATTGGAAACGACAGAACAAAATAAGAAGACTAATATTTATATGGTAAACGTACCTTTGTCCAACAAAACAGTTACATTCCCTTAGACATTTGTCACCATACCAATTGTTATTACAAGTCACACAGTAATCAACTGCCATTATAAACATAAATCCGATAGGACATGCTGCAAAATGACAACAGTTACAGTACTGAAATTGAATGACGATTTTAGTGAAGAAACCATTAATATAAAAACATTACTGAACAGTACCTTTGCTACATTGACAAGAAAATGTTCTTTTTTACAACTGCTAGTTTTCCCTTGTGTCACTGTGTATTTACATGGGCTGTCTATAAAGCTCGTCGTTTGAAGAAAAATCAACCAACTGTGACCCTGTAGTCAACAAACCTAAGACATATTTCAACTAGATGGATATAATGATATATTATATAAAAGATATACTAGTTAGAACAGAACTATGATATATACACAAGTATAAATAACCATATTTAATTGTCAAAGTACATACAACATTCTGATACACAAAGTCAGATGTCCGTCTTTTGACGTTAATTATTTGACGCTTTCAACGCCTGTACTATGAAAATCTCCTTAGAATTAAAGTGCACATGATCTTTTATCTAATAATATATCACTACCTTATATGTTACCTTATTTATGGATGAAAAAAACTGATGTGCAGTTATAAGACTTCATACTATATGCAAAAATCGTAGTTTATTGATCGCGTTCCTTCATTGTTCTTCGATATGTATATAGTGTATTGTATTGGCAGTAGCAGCCTAAATATAATGGTGTGTTATGATACAGAACTGCTACCAACTACCAAAACTAATTTCATTTAACTGATACCTACAAACACATCTGCCATTATGTAGCCGAAATTCATAGCAGCAAACCAGTTTTCTACAAAAGACAATGAAATATTAAAGATATGAAAACCCCAAAGGTACATCTATAGTATTTGATATGGAAGTTTAATTTGAAATTGATACATAGACATTGAGTAAAATAAAGCCTCTATGCATTTTAAAATCACAATATTTAAACAAGGTTCGTACCTTTATTGACAATTAGTATGCGGTTCATTCAGTGAAATAAAAATAGCATAATGTCGCTGTTAATTAACAAATGTCAAATCTACAGGGTCTTAAAAATGTAGATATATATAGAAGCAGAAGAAACCAAAAGGAAATGCATAACTCAAAATTGGTTAAAATCATCATATGCTCTTTGATTTGTTGAATTTGCTTGTAAATTGTGTATGATCTATAGACCCCAAATTTGTTCTCATGCCAGATTCATAATTTGTAATTTGAATCATCCAATCATCGTAGGTGACACGCCAACACTTTTAATACGGCGGGTGTTTTACGGCAATCACACTTTTATAGTAATGGATCAAAATTTTGAACTGATGATAATTAAATGTTTTATAAGACTACAATTATATTATGAAACATGAATAGAAACTTGAAACTTTACAGTTTTACTAAGTTCTGAAATGTTTACATATTACAAGCATTATGGAAATATGGTGGGAAAAACAGTGAAATATTTGCGTATATTAAGTTAATCTTTCACTGTATATCCGACAGAGGTTAAAAAAAGTCTCTAGTTCTAAATACCTTGCTAGCCATGTGAACTGTTGCTATTACTAGACGTTCGTTTTCATCGTACGTCGTCGTAAACGTTTTAAAAATCTACTGCTCTGAAGCCAATTGACCAAATGCATTAAAACTTGAGCAGGTTAATTTCTAGTGTAGCTATAATTAAGTTAGAGTTTTCATTCCTGACAAAACGTTTAGATAAAATGTAGCATTGGTCTTAAATGTTAAAAAGAACAAATAAAAAAACAAACAATTCAACATAGAAAGAAACGCTCGGAGTGTCAAGATCTACCAAATAATAAGATGACTTCTGAAAAGAGGTAGTGCCCTTAAATGACGATTGTAACTTATCTTTGCGTCTGCCATTGATCGTAAAAACTATAAAAATCTACAACTCTATAAAGAGTTGATCAACCATACAAAATCTACAGACATGTTTGTACGACCGAATTCGTTGGATGACTCCTTTAAAAGGGATTGCCCTCAAAAAGTGTTTTTAATTTAATTTCATGTTCTGTAGTTCACATCGAAAACTTAACTTTCAATAGAAATAATCATCCATACAAGATCTGCAGAAACTCATACATTACCGAAACCATTGCTTTTCTAAATTTATGATCATTGCATAAAAATTGAATATTTGTTATGTTTTGCCTAGAACTCTAAAAACGATAAAAACTGCATACACTAAAAATAAGCCGCAATATATGATCTGAAACAATGTCATAGTCCAAAAGTATTGAGCAGTGTTGGGTGAATGTAAATGTCTTTTAGTTGAATACAATGGTTTAATTTCGATAAAAGATATACGTTATTGTAATAAGAGTTTTGTTGTTCAATCTCAATGAAAGTTTTAAGAGTATTTAGATGTTCTTTTTTTTTACATTATCAAATGTTTATGATACATTGTATATATTTAGATATAATATTAATTCCGAGTTATGCATGTTTTAAAGAACATATTAATCGGAGAACACAGTTTCGAAATAAGAGTTTAACATATTTCAAGTTTGTAACTTAATTGAAATAGTAACCAACAACGGTTTCTTAAATATAACTAGTAAGGTGTACCTTGTTATGATTTACCTTCAAAGGACGTTTACTTATAAAGTGTCATTGACAGATAGGTGTCATCAAAAATGAATTAACAAATACATACATTCATATTTTCAAAAAGCAAGTGATATTTTTTTCCATTATTTATTCCAACTAATTTGTTGCGCCCATGTAGCATAATTTTATTGTAAACATTTCGAAAGATGAAAAATGGCATAAAAGGTTCGTTTTAATACATCATATATCAAGAAATACATGCATCATTGCTTACCCGGTATTACCATTTTCACATACACCAACATCGGAAATATTAAGACCTAATATAACACTATCAATATTAAAAAAAAATAAACAAAATCTAAACATTTTTAACATGTCTCATCTGCACTATACCGAATATATCAGGAAATAATTAATGCGTGTTACATATTTGATTATTGTGAACAATCGCCGGATGGTATTCAGGATGTTCGTAGATAAGCGGAGGAACAATCGGTAATTGGTCGATGGAAAGATCAATAACATGGTTCATCATATTCATTGCTTTAATTTGAAAGGTTAATAAACAGTTTTACTAAAATTCTTTAAACTTAGCTAAAATATTAGTACAATGTAGATATAATAAATCAAATCAAGTTATAAGAACAGTATAGCATATTGTTAAATACATTATATCATGAAATACAGCTGATTTACATTGTAGCAAGCTGTTATATGGGCATTTTGAGTAATGATGACGAGAACATGAAATTTATATCGACACAATGACAGCCAGACTAATCGGCAACGTTAGAGGATCGTTATACTTGACCAAATCAAACGGTTATTGTTGAAACATATTCTACATGATATATTTGCCTTCAATGTATTTATATAACAAAAATGAGATATCAGATAATGCTGCTGAGGAAACAGCATCTCAGCATATAAAATCTTGAAACAAGTCATCGAGTGTTCATACCACAATATCCATACCAATGATTAGCCATTGATTCTATAAATAGTTCAACAATCTATTCTTTTAAATATATTGTTTTTCAGAGTATAATTTTTCGATCATAGAAATGTATTTTAGCGAAATATCTTTCTTTTTTTTTCTTTTTACACAAAATGTTTCATACGTAATATATATAATTATCATTACGATTGTTTTCGTTATATATTACTATATTACTGGATGAGCTACTAGTATAGGACTTGACCGAACATTAAAAAAACATTTAAAGTAAACCTTCTGGAGGGAAGTGAAACCTTTTTTCTTATACTTATATGTTTGATCTATAAACGAACATTTTAATAATTATATGTTATAAATCATTTCAGTAGCATGACACTGACCACTGCCCTAAAAATGTGAATAACAGTCCATTTCAATAGATGTCATAGCACATGTAGCATTTCAATAAGATTCTGTCTTTTTAAACATTGACTTGTTATTATCGTCTCCGAGGGGACGATACTAAGAGTTGAACGATAAATAGTCTGCGGGCTGAATGCTTCTTACTGTCTGATTGGAAACTATTGCTGATATTATAATAGCTAACTGTTGTTGATTGTTTGGGACAATTCGAAACCTAGTAAATGTCTTTTAATTCCGTAAAGTGTCGGACGTGAACTCTCTATTTTAGCAATTAGATTTTGCCTGGTTACCAATCATGCATATCGGTACACAGGTAGCACTTATCTATAAATAGCCGAAACTCCTGAAATCTTGTAAACGCCCATGTGATTAGTAATAGTTGTCCCATTAGGACGCAGTTTGTCAGTGTAGATCATCCCTCTGACCGGAGGCCAGAGGGTAATCTTACACTGAAACACCAAGTCCGAATGGGATAACTATTTTACATCCCAGCTGTTCTGGATTAGATTAGATTAAAAACCATTCACGTTTCATAAAATCTAGTTTAGAACACCAATATATTTTATATATCACTATAATAGTATATACCCTTTATGACACAATGTTTAAATATGTTAAATAAACAGTGAGTTTGTATCTAGTCGTCCTTGTGTAGGGGTATGAATCGTGGGTCTATATTCTATATTCTAAAAGATCTTGAGTTCGATTCCCAACTTACACACTGGATTTTATTTACATAAATTTTCTAGTTAGTCTTTTCAGTGCAAATAATTCTTAGTTTTATTGTGGATTTGACGTTACCGCCAAAATGTTTCAAAACAAAGGAAATTATACAAAACAAAGAAATTCAAGCTGAGATGATCTGGTAGGGGGGATCCGGCTCAGAAAAAAAAGCTGGGATGTAATTTAACATTCTATCCAGTCGCTCACACAGGGACTCGAGCCCCTGTGGTCGCTCACTGTTACGTAAATCTTATAAATGATGCATACTTAGTAAAACATTATGTTTTTTTTCATAGGTTATAAATATTTATACTTAGTATGAAGGTAATCCAAAGACAACACGAAATGAAAAAGGGAGATATTCCAAAACAGTTTTTCGATTAAATATAAATTAAACTTGGATCTTAATCTGG